TGGTATTGGCCTTTTACCTCATGTGATCAGCTGTGTCAGTAGGACATAGTGATCATGGAGATCGTTGAGTGCGCACCGATTGGGGGCATGCGGGAGGGTGCATTCTAGGAGGACGTCATATGACGCCCTCCCAGAACTGGACAACCAGGCTGTAGCAGTCATTCGGCTATAGCGCAGTAAGGATGTAGTTAAAAGATACGTGCACCCTTGTAAGAAAAAATACACTTTTTTTACCTGCAAAAAATATGAATCCCGCCCCCCGGAGCATAGAAAGCATTGCCTTCCTAATCAGCAGACAACAGGTGCCATGCAGGACTCCTGCAGACCTGTCTGTATTGAATCAGCTGTAACATGTTAGAACACGTCAACTTATTTAATGGTGCCACATCCCGATTCAATAATTTGGCCACTTTGCCTCCTGGGATGTCCACATCATGCATCCCAGGAAGCAGTGTCATCAGTGCAAGATCTGATGCATGCACAGACACAGCCTTGAGGCATGTCTATGCATACTCAAGTGTTTCTGCACATGCATGTCTGCGCAGTTGCAAGATTTCCCCTAACAAGAATTTAAAGATGGTGGTACGGAAGCAGGGTGGTGAAAGGCAAACTTCAGCTTCAAGGAAGACAACCCTAGAATTCACTGACCAGTAATGTTTTTATTATTATACAGGGACAAGTATTAGCTGAAGATTAGGTTAACCAAGGTAAGTTCCAGATTACCAAAAAGGTGTTGTCACCCTGTTACAAAAGTGTAAAATCAAATAATCTATTAGCAGGATCAACAGGTAATAATGGTGATGTAGGAAAACAAAATGCTGTGTTAATGCATGACAGGTTGCTTCATATGTATTTTTTCTATTTTATCCCCAATTTAACCTGAGACTAACTCAATTTATAACAAATGAAGATGAACAAATCCATAAAAAGTAGTGGTGCACCGAAATGTAAATTCTGGGGCCCAAAACCTCCAAAAATAAATTTTAATGAATAAAAAACCAAAACACAACATATACCCCATTTATTTGTAAAATATGAAAGATTATGTTACGCGGAGTAAATAGATACCCAACATGTCATGCCTTAAAACTGCACACGCTCAAAGAATGACACCAAACTACGGTACTTAATCATGGTGACACTTTAAAAATTTCTACAGGTTACCAGTTTAAAGTTACAGAGGAGGTCCAGTGCTAGAATTATTGCTCTCGCGCCGACGCTCGTGGCGATACCTCAGGTGTGCTTTTTACACATCTCGGTGTGGCCTACGTATGCGGTCACCACTGCGCGTGAAGACCGGGGCACTTGAAAAAAAGTTTTATACATTTACTACTTTTTTTTTTTTTTTTTTTTTAACACTGTCCCTTTACGAAGAAAAAAAAAAAAAAAAAAAAGTATAACTTTTATTCCTATCAGAAGGATCATAAACATCCCTTGTAATAGAAATAAGCAGTGACAGGTCCTCTTTACAGAGAGATCTGGGGTAAATAAGACCCCACATCTCCCATCTATAATGTAAAGCATTAGATAAAAAAAAAAAAAAAAAAAAAAAAAAAAAGGCCTTGCTCATATGGTGCCAAACATCACTCTGGTCCTCCAAGAGCATAGAGGTGAGTGGAGGCCATCTTTCTTCACTGATCTCTATGCCCAGCAGCCAGGCTCCTTGGAACGGGTTCACATGTAAATCCTGAGAACCACCGAAAAGCTGCAGCAGGGGGCGGGGCTATCTTCGGGCACCTGTATCGGTGACTATTTTCATATCGGCAGAAACGTTTGAGCATCCCTAATAAAAAGATTTTAATTTCATTAAAACCAAATGTTAAAAGATCAGTAGAGCCAGATTTACAGCTGGCGTTACAAAAAATGTCAACTGTTGTAAAATTAAAGCTTCTCCCTCCCAGCTACTGAGCATCCCTATGGGTCCTCCAGTGTGATGTGTGCCCTCACTGATTACCCCCCCCCCCCCCAGGGATGCAGGGTATGTGGAAACATTTGTACTCTATGTGTCCTGTTCAAACTATACGTGTGTGGTGATGTGTGCTGAACAAAACTGTCTTCACTAAAAATCACATTAAGTGTATATTGATTTGTTAAAATGAAAATTATAGCATCTAAAAATGGCAGTATAAATACTGGAATTTTTATTTCTTTATACTAGTAATGGCAGCGCTCAGCGACTTATAGTGGGACTGCGGCAGGCACTTGATACTGGGTGGGAACTGACACTGACATCTCCACTGACACTAATACAGTGATCAGTGCTAATAAAAAGCGCAGACACTGTATGACACTGGGCAGGAAGGGGTTAACATCTGGGACAATCATAGGAATAAAAGTGTGCGGTTTGTGTTTTACTATGAAAAGTGTGTGCCGTTTTACCTGGGAGACCTGCTGCTTTCTCTGATTAGTCCCGGCTGGGACCTGGTGATTGACATCCGCAGGAGCCAATCGTAACGCGGGTAGGGCAGCATGCGCGCCCCCCTACTCGGAAATGCAAAATCACATAAATTTACATGATTTTGAACAGCGCAGCCTCCCTGTAGCAATACATCTGCTATGGCGTGTTCGTCAAGTGAAGTGATGAAGTCTGCTAGCAGCTTGCCCAAAGTGGCAGTCGACATTCCCATTAGAATGTGTTCAACATTTACAAACTGGAGTTGAACAGTACACATTCTATACAGGTACATGAATTTTGTTCACACAGCAACACTTTTAGAATGCATGAGAGACACTTTAGCAAAATCTGCTGTGCCAGTCTAAATGAATTGACAGTTTTGGCCCCTAGGTGAAGCAGATTATCAGATAAAATAGTATTGCAGAAAACAGGTAACATTTGTGCAGTATTAATAAATGCTTACGACATTTGTCCAGAGGATTTTTTTATAAATAGATCTTCTTAATGTCATTTTAAATGGGACAAACATACTGTAGGTCAAGATTGAAACGTTATCTACAATAACACCAAGTTATAAAAAAAAAAAAAAAAAAAAAAGAAAAAGTTAACTTTCCTTCTTTCAGGTTACTTTTTTTGTAAAAAAAAAAAAAATGCATAAAAACAAATCATTTGACAAGTCAATATCACCAAAAGAAAGACTCGTTTGTCCTTAAAAAAAAAATTATATGTATTACTCTCAATGACAAAGTTACCTGTGACTAGACAGGCCCATGAGGGAAATGTAAACATTGCTCTGGTCCATAGGGGGCGTAGGTAAACTGGTCAAGTATAACTAAAGGCAGAACTTTTTGCAGTGTTGGATGGCGTGAACAGGAACAGAACACCCGTCTGTTTTTTTACTGCTGTTGGTGCCACCACCAGGGAGATTCACCCTCCCTATATGCCTGCTTTACGATAAGAGTGAAAGTGAAAAAATCCCATATTTTGGGTTTTAACCAGAACAGTAATGGAGAAGAAATCTTTCAATGGGGACACCAATTAGGGCAACTAGGGATTCCCTCACTTCCTGTTTTGGTTATAGAGCAGGAAGTGAAGGAAATATGCCCAATTGGACACAGATGATGCAAAGAAAAAAAAAAAACCTGACAGTTTATAACCCTCCCTTGCCTTATCCAAAATGAAAAAAAAAAAAAAAATCCAACTTTAGTTCTATTTCAAGGGTTCCTTCACTAGAGAAGAGCTGATCCCTGCAGGAGCACACAGAAAACAATTGTTTTTATGCATAGAAAGGAAATGTCACTTTTCAATAAAGCTGAAAATCAATAATAAAAAGCAGTTAGTGCCCTGAGCTGCTCTCTGAAGCTCGCCCAACACAGACAAGCCCACAGAGGAAAAGTCTTCCTGTGCAGCTAGTGTGAACCAGCCCTAAAGAGAACCTGTATCCTGTACAGCACCAGGTACATCTTGGCAGTGGTCACACCAGGTACCAGAAAGCAGCCAGAGAGCACAAGGCTCCTGGCACTAAAGCTGAGCTGCAGGTGATGTGCAATTTTGGGGCCGGGCGATGTATGTGAACCCTCACTGCTTATCTACACAAGAAACACAGTGAAGAGAGCCTGTCATCACTTATCCAAAACATAAATAGAAAACTGACGCCTGGAGGATTCCTGGCATAGAGGGAGGCAGCACAGTCAGCACCCAGAGAACTGCTGAACACAACATGAATGTCTCAGGAAGGAGGCAGGAAAAGTGACACCACTCGCAGAGGGGGGGGGGGGGGTCACATCCCAGGAAAGGACCAGAGTCTGTTCATGACTTACATCACCACCTGAAATTGTACTGGAAACAAGGACAGGACATCCCGGGCCTTATAGTCCCCAAGCAACCAGAGGACCCAATATGCCCTGTAATCCCTCAACAGTCAGGGTTTCCACTGGGCTTTGTAGTCCCCTAGCAGCCGCAGGACACGATGGGCCTTGCAGTCCCTCAGGAATTGAGGAGCCCCGCTGTACCATGTAGGACAGAGGGGGCCCTGCAGTCCCTCGGCAGCAGGAGGACGCCCCGCTGGGCCCTGCAGTCCCTCGGCAGCAGGAGGACGCCCCGCTGGGCCCTGCAGTCCCTCAAGAGGGGTCTCGCTGTACCAAGAGAGAGGCTCTGCCAGACCTTTCAGACCCTCAGCAGCTGGAAGCCCCACTATGCCATACAAGGAGGAGGAGTCCCCCCACCGGGCCTTGTAGTCCCTCAGCAGCTGGGAGTTCTGCCGGGCCTTGTAGTCCCTCAGCAGCTGGGAGTTCTGCCGGGCCTTGTAGTCCCTCAGCAGCTGGGAGTTCTGCTGGACCTTGAAGTCCCTCAGTCACTGAGGGGCCCCACTGGACCTTGTAGTTCTTGAGCAGCTGAGGGCCCCACTAGGCCTTGCAGCAGATAGAGGACACGCTGGACCTTTTAGTCCCTCAGCAGCTGGGATCATGCTGGTCTTTGTAGACCCTCAGGCCCCCCTTATCCATATCCGCCCCGCCCCCTACCGGGCGCCATTTTGTCCCCCCCCCCCCGGCCAGGCCCGCTCCGCCATGTCGGTTTCCCCTCACCTCCCCGTCGGGTCACTTACTCGGGCGGGAAGAGGCGCAGCTCGTCGATCTTGCCCAGGAAGCCGAAGAGTGTTTTCATCTGCTCGGAGCTGGCGCTGGGGGACACGTTGGTCACCTGGATGACGTCTGTGCTCGAAGTCATGGCGCCTCTCCTGCTCTAACACACAACAAGAGGGACACACACACACGATTAGTACAGTTCGGCGGAGGGGGGATGGGGGGCAGACAGCGGCCGGCTACAGCGAGCAGCACACCGCCGCCATCCAACAACGACAAGAACCTGACTGGGCCGCAGCCTCCCACAATGCACCAAACGCGCCTGCGTACTGAACGCCCTGCCTCCTCAGACAGGCGGGAAGGACCGCCCAGCTGCTCTTACACGTGACCACGCCCGGCAACGGAGAGCTCCACCTCCGTCACGACCTGAGAAAAACCTCCACGCGCCCGTCTCCTTTCCCGCCCAGGCCGCGCCCTCATTACCTCAGGACACTTCTCCCCGCCCCAGGCACGCCCCTCCCTTTCTCTCAGAGAGATGTGCTCAGTGAAGGCGCCACAGTATGTGTGGGAGCTATACCAATATGACAATGGAGGCTGTGGAGCGTTCTCTCACTTTCCTTCTTCCCTTCCCAGGTTTTGGCCACATAATAATAAATACATTACTATATAAGGGATTTGTCTACCTTTACACGAAAAAACTGCCCATGCAGATAAGGGGCATCTGTAGATAAAAACAAACTGGGAAGCTTTGAGTAAAGTTGAAGAATGCCCTTGCTACAGGTGTAGGCCATTCACATACCTCCTGAAGCCTGACTGGAATACTCCCAGGCAGGGGCAGACTGACAAATAATGGGACCCCCAGGCAATAGGGGATCATGGGGCCCCTGTGTCCTTGACCAAACTCAAAAAAGCCTATGAAAAAGGTACCAGGGGCATCTCATGGGGTCCCCTACTGACCCCGAGCCCTCGGGAAGTGCCCGAGTTTCCAAATGGTCAGTCCGCCCCTGCTCCCAGAGCGTTGCTAAGAGACTCCTAACTGTTCCTGCTTACCATCATCATCACAAGAGGGAGCTCTTCCTCTGATCCAAACCCCCTCCCATTCTCTTTCTTTCCCTTGATGCAGTAGCTCTGAGTTCATGCGGAAATGTAATAGCTAGGTGTCCCTTAGCAACGTTCTTAGCAACATCCTAGAAGTTTTCCAGTCAGGCTTCATGATGTACATAAATGGCCTACACCAGGGGTGGACTGACTATTCGAGCACTCGGCACTGCCCGAGGGCCCGGGGTCAGTAGGGGGTGTCACGATCGCGGCATCAGACCCCAGACCTTCTCACCAAACTCGTGACCGAAGGACTGGCCGATCAAGACCGCGATGTGACGTGCGTAACAATGCCACACCCAACTGCACCCTACACAGCGATTTTCCAGCTATTGGATTTCAATCTGTGTCTGCAGCCTGGATGCGCTTGTTACTGGGTCACGTTAATTACGCAACTGACCCTTACACACTGCCACCACCCCTTTTTTGTGCAGAGCAAGAGGAAACTCTATCAAATATACACTATAAAGTTTGAAAAGTCTTCTCTCCAATATGGTCACCGCAGGCCAATTGGGCAGAGCATTATGTCACGGACGCACGATCGCCACCCTCAACATGCGACAATCGCACGACCGCGACCAACAATACGTCACGCCCGCGGCGTCAGACCCCAGATCTTCTCACCAAACTCGTGACCGAAGGATCAGCTGATCTAAAACCGCGATGTGACGTGCGTAACAATGCCACACCCAACTGCACCCTACACAGCGATTTTCCAGCTATTGGATTTCAATCTGTGTCTGCAGCCTGGATGCGCTTGTTACTGGGTCAGGTTAATTACGCAACTGACCCTTACACACTGCCACCACCCCTTTTTTGTGCAGAGCAAGAGGAAACTCTATCAAATATACACTATAAAGTTTGAAAAGTCTTCTCTCCAATATGGTCACCGCAGGCCAATTGGGCAGAGCATTATGTCACGGACGCACGATCGCCACCCTCAACATGCGACAATCGCACGACCGCGACCAACAATACGTCACGCCCGCGGCGTCAGACCCCAGATCTTCTCACCAAACTCGTGACCGAAGGATCAGCTGATCTAAAACCGCGATGTGACGTGCGTAACAATGCCACACTCAGCTGCGCCCTGCACAACGATTGTCCAGCTAATGGAACGCAATCGACGCACCGGCAGCCTGAATGCGCTTGTTACTGGGTCGGGTTAATTACGCAACTAACCCTCTACTGCCACCACCACTTTTTGTACAGAGAAAGGGGAAACTCTTTTTATCAAATATACACTGTAATGGTTGAAAAGTCGCCTGTCCAATACGGTCACCACAGGCCGATTGGGCAGAGGATTAAACAAACACAGTAGCGTCTCTTCAGAAGGCAGGGATTCGTAAATTGCAATTAAGCGCTTTAGAAACAGTTTAACACGTTCAGAAAGAAAGATTTATTACTAAAAGAGTCAAACAGGTGCAATAAAATATTTACAGAAAAAGATGTAACTAAGATATATTTATATATATATATATATACACACAAAGAACCAAAGCACAGCAAAGAGATAACAGGGAGAAGTTAAAGGGTTAAGTTACTTGCCATTTAAGCCTTTGAGGTAAGCAGATCCAAGTTGCAGAGCTAAAGGGTCTCCCCAGGTGGTATTGATGTTACAAATGGGAGATGTCTTCAACTTCCCTTTTTAGGCCTGCTAGCCTGTTTTTTAAAGTCCCCCAGCAGGGGGGTGGCTCTGAGTAACTGACCAATACTCTGTTTAGGGAGGGATAGTCGGGCGGAACTCTGAATTAGAACCAACATCTTTCATAATCCATATTTTGGCCTATAACTTTCCAGCTGCACAAGCGGCAACCTCTTAGCGGGTATTTTATTATGCAAATAAGTCTAAGGATCATGTAGATATGAATTAGGAGATTGTAGGCCGCACGGTTCACGAGATACAGTATATGTTTCTGCTTCCCTGAGCATGCAAAACAAATGGAGAGACCTATCAGAATGTCCGTCTGCACGTTGGCCATTTGACGAGGTGCCCAGTTTTTATGTAGGTCTTCCATATTTCAAGAAATGAAACATAGGGGAAAAACTGACTTGAGGAATGTTCATTTAATTCTGTCACCTACGCTGCTAGGTTTTATGAGGTTACAATCTCTTTCAATTCCTGGGAAAAACTGCCTTATCTCTGTTACGAGGTGAGAGATTCCACAGGTCCTTGGGCAGAGCAGCTCTGTCTCTCTTGGGGGGGACTTTAGCTCTGGGCCCCCTGCTGCTCTAGCCTGCTAGTGACCCACAACCAGATATCGCTGTGGCTGAACAGAGAGGGGAGGGGGGAGGATGCAGGAAAATATATTTCAGGATGGTTAGTCCATTCGCCAAGATGGAGGTTGAAGCCAAAATGTTTGAACTGCGTCCATCTCTGATGCGCGCTTTTGCGACAGGGGGCCCCATGAAATGCCCCTTGTACCGTTTTTATAGGCTTTTTTGAGTGTGGGCAAGGACACAGGGACCCCATGATCCCCTATTGCCCGGGGTCCCCATGAGTTGTCAGTTCTCCCCTGGCCTACACCTATAGCAAGGGAATTATCCACTCAGGCTCAGTTCTCATCTGTGTGAGTGGTGTCACTGCGGGACCCTCATAAATACCAGCAGCTGCAACCACCCACACAAAGAACCGCGGGACCCATATCCAAATGGCATGCTGCCCGCACTGGAAATTACAACTATACTAGGTACCTTGGGTCCTGAGTGGGTAGCGATTTAAAAAAATAGTGCAGGGACTTCTTTCCTGCGTGTCCCAGGGCACGGCAGTGCATTCAAATGAATGGGCTCTTAAGCATGATATGGGATGTCTCTTTGCTGGATTTGGGTCTGTCTCTTTGCTGGGTATGGAATGTCTCTTTGCAGGATGTCAGAACTTTAGCTCTGAGAAAATAATCAGTATACAATTTATGAAACAGATCTGGAATTAGGGCAGGTTCACACTATAGAAACGCAGTCCAGATGCGTTTCTCCAGGCGAGTTTTTGATACGTTCCAGTGCGTTTTTGATGCATTCCATTTCAGTGTTTCCCCTCTTTTTTTATTCAATTTAAATAGGGACATGTGCATTCCAGGGCATTTTTTATGCCTGTTGCTGCGTTCCAGTGCGATTTTTATGCATTTTACCGCATTCCAGTACAATTCCGTGCAGAAAAAATGCAGCATGTTCTACTTTTTTTTACTGAAACTGGAACGCACTGGAACTGCAAGCACTGATGTAAACTATGACACTGACAACCATACAACCTACTTTCTGTGTGTTTTGGATGCAGAAAAAAAAAGCAGCTGAAATGCATTGAGTGTGAACTGGCCCTTAACCTCCCTGGCGGTATTCCCGAGTGTAGCTCGGGGTAAAGTTTCAGCACCACAAGCGGTAACCCCGAGCTACACTCGGGCTTACCATGCGGTGCTGCTCCGCGATCCCTTGGTCACTTACCTTGTCCTGCGCTCTCGCGATGTCCCTCCTGCAGTGTCCCCGGAAATGTAATCTGGCGGATGTCAGCATCTGTCATCTGTGTTCCGTCCCCTGCGATGTCGGGACGTACGGGGGACGGAACGGCGGGAAATTTGAAAATGACAAAAAGTGACATTCACTAAATACACTAAAATCACATAGTATAACATTTCTGTATCAAACCATTTCACATACATTTTGTCCCGAGTGCTTTGTCCGGCGCCCTGCCTGCATTTTTACTGTTCTTTCTGCCTGGAAACTGAGAAATGTCCATGGCGTCCAAAAAGCGTCCCTTTAGGTCAAAAGCGGTTTTAGACCGGCTAGAGAACAGCGATAGTAAATCAGAACCACTTGCAGAATTGAGTGATAATGATTCGTGGAGAAATTCATCATCAGACACTGAAAACGATTTTGTGACTTTGCTCAGTGATGTGCGAACTTGGCGCTCTATTTCAAATTTCAGTGTTTTTGGTTTGATTATATAATTTAATTAAATTTATTATTATATTATTATTTTTTATGATTATTTATTAAATTATAATTTATGATTTCGTGTTTCAAGTTTTATCCTACCCGGGATGTTTACTAGACTCTTGTTCGAACAGATTTCAGTGAGTTATTCCTAAGAATTACAGGCCTACGATATAAAACGCCAAATTTCCATGCAAAATAATGGTACCGCTTTCAGCACCAAAAATCTGAAATAATCATACCGCTAGGGAGGTTAAGGAGATTCCCTACTAATTTTCACGAATCAACTGATAATCCAAATTCTTTATTTGCGCTAATTTGAAGACGAAATAAAAAGCA